GGAAGGGCGTAGAATGCCGGTTATGGATCTTCGGAGCGAGGTGAGTCTCCTTTCTAACCTTGTAAGAGGGAATTGTCCCCATAGGTGAATTAATTGGTTATGTGCTCGTATTTGTGGGGGCTACGTACGCACGAGGTGACGAGAGTCCGTGCATAGCTACTATTATGTTATTGTCCTGGTAGTCTAGGACCCAAAAACATGCTATACTTGGAATATTTGTGATCTTATCGACAAATTGAATTTCTTAAATCCTATCGAATTGGTAAATGAATTTCTAAGAAGATTAAACTACATTTTCTTGAATTAGTGAAAGAGAATTGGCTTTTCCTTGGGTAATTGTTCCCTGATAAATTCATGATTGACTGATTGTCGTGTTTATTTATATTTGACCGCGTCGCATGTATGATTCACAAGCGGGATAATAGATGCATCTATGGTTCGGGTCGCTCGACCCTCGGCAGAGCACATTTTACATTTATGTTGGATCGGGCTGTACGACCTCGGCATGATTTGCGCATGCTTGTATTGCTGCCTTGAACTTATTAAAGTTGTTATTGCCTCTTCCTGGCTTGAGAATATTTGTATAAAGGACTTCAAGAAATTTGGAGATTTCCTATAAAAGAAAGAATTACTTGCTTCATCCCATTGAATTACAATCATGTTTATAAAAGTCCACGATTTAATTTATTATTGATATCACATTATTGGACCACTAGTAAGTGTCGAAGTCGACCTCTCGTCTCTACTTCTTCGAGATTAGACGAGATACTTACTGAGTACACGTTGTTTTCGTACTCATGCTACACTTGCTGTGCATTTTTGTTGCACAGGCACAAGTACTTCTAGTGGCCTACTAGGCGTAGCAGCATGGATGATACTGGGACTAGGTGAGCTGCATTACTCGAGGCGACCCGCAGCTAGTATAGTCTCTTTCAGTGTATTGTATTTATTTTCTGTCCAATTGTATTTCCGGACGGATGTTGTATTGTATTGTCTCTTAGAAGTAGCTCATGCACTTGTGACACCGGGTTCTGGGGATGTCTATGGGTTTATTCAGAATTTTTTTTCAAAGTTGTTAAAGGTTTCATTTTCTTATTCAGTAAAATTTACTATGTATAGCTTAAACGTATAAAAGAAGAGATTTCAGAAATATTTAAAACGAGAATTTAATTAAGTAATTTGGTTGGCTTGCCTGACAGCGGTGTCCGGCGCCATCACGACCCTTGGTGGATCTTCGGTCGTGACATGAAGCTCCACCTTATAGGTTCCCCGGGTACGGTGTTACTCATAATTGGACGAAATAGAGTATATTTTGGGAGTTGCCTTATTGGAAGGATAATCTTCTCCATCACAACCTTGATGTCATGCATATTGAGAAGAATTATTTTGACAATTTGTTCAACAGAGTGATGGATGTTAAAGGTAAGACAAAGGATAACCCGAAGGCTAGAATGGACTTAGAAGAATATTGCAGGCGGCCTGAATTATACTTGTAGACAGAAAACAATGGTAAGATATTCAAGCCCAAAGCAAGTTACACATTCACTTTGGAGGAAAGACGGCAAATTTGTGATTGGGTAACGAAATTGAAGATGCCTGAGGGTTATGCGTCGAATCTTGGAAAAAAAGTTGATATGGAGGTAGGGAAGTTGAGCCATTTGAAAATTCATGAATGTCATATTTTCATGGAGACCTTAGTGCCTATTGCATTTTGTCGTTTGACTGAAAGAATCTAGAAACCCATCACAGAGATTAGTTTGTTTTTCAAAGACTTGTGTTCTTCCACATTAAGGGAAGAAAACCTACTCCGGATGGATCAGAACATTCGTGTAAATTCTACTAAGATGGAAAAGATATTTCCATGTGATTTTTTTGATGTGATGGAACACCTTCCAATCCACCTTGTACATGAGGCACGACTTGGAGGGCATGTTCAATGCAGATGGATGTATCCCTTTGAGAGGTAATATTATAAGTTTGATGTAATTTTCTGTTTTATTTGAATGTTCTTGGCTAACCTGAAATTATGTAGGACAATTGGCAAATGCAAACAATTTGTTAAGCAGAGGAATATGATTGAAGGATCTATATGCGAAGCTTATCTTGCAAAGGAAACTGCTCATTTTTGCTCTTATTATTTTGAGAGTAATGTGCCATGTGCTAGGAATAGGCCCAATAGGCACACATTCGAATGATCCATTAGATCCGCCTATGTCCATATTCAATCAACCAGGCCGATGTTCTAAGGCAGTTAGAAAGAGAAATTTGAGTGATATGGAGTACAAGTCAGCTACACTTCATGTGTTGCTAAATTTTCCCGAAGTTGTACCATTTCTCAAGTAAGTATTGATTTAGTAGTTATCAAAATATAAAATTTACTGTTATTACATCTCAATGTAACTACTAAAAATATTTGATGTGTCACAGTCACTTCGTGGGTCAATTTGGCCATGATGCTGTATATACGAGATTTGATACGTGGTTCAAACAATTTGTAAGTTTATCCTTAAAATATTCTAACACTATGTAGGTAAACAATATTTGGAAGTTATGCTAACTTATGAATTTTTTTAACAATATGTAGGTAAATGATCCAAATAATGGTGTAAATCAACTTTTGAAAGATATATCTTGGGGACCTGGGCTTGAGGTTACAACAATGTCTAAGTACGTTGTGAATGGTTATAAGTTTCATACAGAGGATTGCTCTAAAAATAAAAATAGCAACAACAGCGGGGTGTGGGTTCAAGGTGGTGATGGCAACCAAGTTGGAGATATTGATTATTATGGTGTGCTCAAAGAAATAATAGAATTAGAATATACAGGTTGGCCACTTAAAAAATTGATACTCTTTAGATGCAAGTGGTTTGACCCAAATCCAAGAAGAGGTACAAGAGTACACAATCAATACAACATAATTGAGATTAATCACACGAGGGAGTATGATCACTATGATCCTTCCATAATTGCATATAATATTAGGCAAGTGTATTATGCTCCTTATCCATTACGGCGGAATAAGTCCGATTGGTGGGTTGTAATAAAAACTAAGCATGTAGGTAGGGTGGAAGTCGAGAATGTGTTAGATGTTGCATATCAAAACGATATCTCCAGTGTTCACCAAATAGTGGACGAAATTTTAGAAAATGATTTGGAACATCCTGAACACATATTGGAAGAAGTTGATATAAATGAAGTAAGAATTATAGAAAACAAGGAAGAAGAATCAACTGATGAAGCTCAAACTAGTGAGGAAGAAGAATTCTCGGACGAGGAACAATACGTCGATGAGCTTTAAAAAGTCAGTTTCTTTAATAACTCTCATTTATAGCTAGTTTCTTATATGTTTCAATCTAAATATGTATTATATTATGCAGATGACAGGCAAGGGTCGAGGTAACAATGACCCTGTTGTTCTCGGGGTCGAGAAAAGGCTAGGAAACCAAAGAGGAGGGTAGAAGATAATACTCAATCTTTTCCACCCTCTTTAGAGATGCCTATGCCTAAGCCTATGTCTTATCCTCCACCCCAGGGCTATTCTGAGCTACCACAGCATCACGAGCCCTACACCTTCGTGCAGACACCAGGTCTTTCGTCACAGGGCCATAGGACTATACGTCCGGCATACAGTCCAGCTGCCTCACGACCACGTGGATCGCAGCCATCTACATCGCATGGATCGCATCGATCCATGTCAGATCCACATGGATCACAGCCATCAGTGTCACAACCACTCGGGTCACAGAAATCAGTATCACAGCCACTTGCGGTCCATCCAGCTATGTCACAGTCACTGGGATCGCAACCATCTTCATCAGCGACTCCATCTATTTTAGGCCTTCGCCTGCGAGATAGTAGCTCTGTCCCCCCTACACCTTCCACACATGCCTCTGATATACATGCTTCGGATGGTGATGCTGATGATGACGAGGAGGTGCATTATGATCAATATGGCAGGATCATCATAGTCCCTGAGGGTGATGGGTAAGAGTTATTTGTTATTTTTACGTTTATTGTTTTCTACAGTTTGTACTAAGATATTAATGTGTTTTTTTAGTTAAATTGCAGGTTCATCCCGAGAAATATTACTACGAGGATAATCACCAAAGCCACCAGAAAGCTTTATGATGGCCCTTATGCAACTTGGAGTGAATTCCCATTCTCGCTGAAGGAGCAAATTTTCAATCAATTTAAGGTATAAATATTCTTTTAAGCAGTATAATTATTTATATTTATGATATTTCCATATAATATTTAACTTTGGAAATACAGAGCAAGTGTGTATGGGAACATCGCTATAGCGCGGAAGTGGCTGCAAATTTTCATCACAAAGCTCGCAAGCGGTTGTCGCATAGTTTCTCCAAAGCTAGAAAGTTGAACCAGAAGCCTGACTGGTTGCTTCAATATTTATGGGAGGATTTGCAAAGGCAATGGCTTACCACAAAGTCCTTAGAGAAGATCGAAAAAGGAAAGAAAGCTCGCGCATCTGAGAAGGGAGGCTCCTTGCACACTGGAGGTGCGATCAGCCTAGGGACAATAAAAAGAAGATTGGTACGTAATTGCTTAATTTATTTTAAGTTTCAAAGTATATCTATACTGTTTATTAACTAAAAATTTATGAGTTTTCAGGAAAAGAAGTTGGGGCGTCCAATGAACCAAGATGAGCTATTCAAGGAGACTCATATTGTAAAGAAGAAGAAAGAGACGGATCAAGAAAGGTGGGTCGAGGATCGAGCCTCGACTGTACATGTAAGTTTTCACTTTTCATTAAGTATTTTGATTTACTTTTATATAAATTTTGAAATACTAATTCAATGTAATTTTTCTTATAGGGTCGCTTCACAGCTAACGTGGAGGAATTCATACGCAGTCAGCCACCTAATGAGTCGGGCGAGCCAATCCAACCTTCGGACGAGGATGCTGAAAGAATATGGATGGATGTTGCTGGCGGTCCAAAATGGGAGAAGGTATACGGGCTTCCTACTAAGAAATTNAGCACGGAAAGAGATGATGTCAAAGACACGAGAAGAGGTATTATTTCGCCAACATAATCTGTTATTTGGCTTGGTTACTATAACTTCATTTGCACATCTTCATGTTTTTACAGGTCACTGCAGAATTGAAGGCTGCTTCATTAACTACCGATATCACTGAAAGGAGAAGGATGCAGTCTGATGCATTATCAGCTGTCTTTCAGACGTTCTTTCGTGTCCTAAAGCATGCATTAAGGCCTCGGTATGTTCATTTTGCTGATGATATAAATGGAGCATGTCAAATAATGAATTCACTTACCATGAACCCACCAGATATGAACTTGAACCACATCATATAACTAGTTCCCCTGTGAGAAAATACCAGGACTCCACCTTTTTAAGTGCTACCTGGCGTTTATTATTATTTTGATGAAGTTGGTAATTTTATTGATTTAATGAGAAATCCCCTCATACAAGGTGTATAGTAAAGTGGAGAATCTCACACAAAAACATGATCCTTTACAGGGAGCTATCTAGCTTTTATATAAAAAAGAAGAAAGACAAATGAAATCCTAGGAGAAAAGAACACATGACTGTCAAACCAGTCATTCATGTCCTTTCTCTATGCAAAACTATAACTAGCCATTAATGGTATACAAAGAAGAGGACGAATCAACTTTGCAGTAAAGGCCATTTTATGAAACCAGAAGAGATATCTGAAGAAGATGAATAGGAGGAAGAAAGAAGGCCACCTTCCATTTTCTTTCTAATTTTAATTGATTTACTTGTAAAAGAAAATAAAGAAGAAGACAGGTCCTGGTAGTTTTTTGGAGGATTCAGTCTCCATCTTTTTGAAATTTTTACTAATCCATCTGAAATTGGGAATGATTCTGTTATAGAATCTTTATTTGTTATATGAATACATCTGCCATTCTGCTTTTTCTTTCTATCAAGAATAGTTCATGAGCCCCAAGCCATTATTATGCTTTCACGGATGCATTTGTGTTGTCTTGATTTCAAATTAATTTTGGTTACTGATATTGATATGTTTCTAGCATATTTGGTTTCCCTTTGTGTTCTCAGATAGTTATGCATTTTCTATTATATTGCAAATTCTTCATATGATTGTGATATTTCCTTTAGTTGTCTGCGTATTGTATCTGGAGGTTAAATGAAAACAAAGACTATGATCTATATCCATGATGGGGGAAAAGGGGAAAGCTACAGAAGTTTTTTTGGATAACCGAGAAATTCCCGAGGCACAGTGGTGCATGTTACGGAATTTGGTGGATAATGGCCTGCCGCTCTACCCGTCTCAACTTAAATACCAAACTTTTGTTTGCATCTCTCATATATCATGAGACTTCTTGCCCCATTATCTCCTATTGATTATCGGACTTCTAACCTCATTTATATCATTCCTAATTCCACTAATTCTAGGATTGGGAGATGACTTCCTAATTCCTCTAGTTATAGTGTTACAATTATTGTATGACTACATAATTACACTCGATAGTAGCCATCATAACTAAACATAATAAAGACATGCTTGCAGAGATTTATGTGATGTAAGTTCTAATCCCGAATAAATTGCTACTGACGTTCACTGGGTGATGTTTTACATCTTTCCAAGTGCTGGAACATAAGGTCAGCTTGTAGAACTACATTAACTGATTTGAAATAAAACTTATCTAACAGAAATTAGTGCTTATGGTGCAGGTTGCTGAAGTCTTAATTCAGTTTGAGTTTGTTATCACAAGAAACTCATACTGGTTTTGGATATCCAAAGCATCTTGGATGTTATGTTTAAATTTTGCTTTATTAGCTCTTGCATCAGTACAGTCTATACTATACTTGACCACTGTGTTATCACTTAATGCCTTTTCACTTAATGCTGTCTCAAAAAGTAACTTCTATGTTATTATTACTCAGATCAGAAGCAGGTTCTTCACCTCAGGCACCTGGAAGTCATCCACTTCTTGCTCCTTGTCTTAATGGAATTGGGAAATTTTGCCAACTCATCGACTTAGATTTCATGTCCGATCTTATGAATTATCTGAGGAAGCTTGCTGGAAGTGGCAACAACTCTGGTGATTCTTCCATGGATGGTTCAGCANGCTGAAGGAGCAAATTTTTCAATCAATTTAAGGTATAAATATTCTTTTAAGCAGTATAATTATTTATATTTATGATATTTCCATATAATATTTAACTTTGGAAATACAGAGCAAGTGTGTATGGGAACATCGCTATAGCGCGGAAGTGGCTGCAAATTTTCATCACAAAGCTCGCAAGCGGTTGTCGCATAGTTTCTCCAAAGCTAGAAAGTTGAACCAGAAGCCTGACTGGTTGCTTCAATATTTATGGGAGGATTTGCAAAGGCAATGGCTTACCACAAAGTCCTTAGAGAAGATCGAAAAAGGAAAGAAAGCTCGCGCATCTGAGAAGTGAGGCTCCTTGCACACTGGAGGTGCGATCAGCCTAGGGACAATAAAAAGAAGATTGGTACGTAATTGCTTAATTTATTTTAATTTTCAAAGTATATCTATACTGTTTATTAACTAAAAATTTATGAGTTTTCAGGAAAAGAAGTTGGGGCGTCCAATGAACCAAGATGAGCTATTCAAGGAGACTCATATTGTAAAGAAGAAGAAAGAGACGGATCAAGAAAGGTGGGTCGAGGATCGAGCCTCGACTGTACATGTAAGTTTTCACTTTTCATTAAGTATTTTGATTTACTTTTATATAAATTTTGAAATACTAATTCAATGTAATTTTTCTTATAGGGTCGCTTCACAGCTAACGTGGAGGAATTCATACGCAGTCAGCCACCTAATGAGTCGGGCGAGCCAATCCAACCTTCGGACGAGGATGCTGAAAGAATATGGATGGATGCTGCTGGCGGTCGAAAATGGGGGAAGGTATACGGGCTTCCTACTAAGAAATTTCATCGCTATAAGTGTGAAATGCAAGGAATAGGGACTTCCTCGCAAGGCAAGCAACTTGATGGGGAGACCCTCTCGGCTATGCGGGAGACTGTGACAAAGCTCACATCCGAGCTAGAAGCGGCCAAGGAAAGAGAAAAGCTTAGAGATGCTCAGTACATTGGCATGCAAGCTCAGTACCATGGCATGCAAGCTCAGCTCAAAAATCTCCTAGCTTCTAGAGCTTTTCCGATTCTCCGGTCTCGTGAATTATCGCCAGAGGCTCGACTTGAACGTGAGTGTTCCTTCCGTCCTCCCCGTGCTCGTTCCTCCCGTCCTCCCCGTGATTGTTCTTCCCGTCCTCGACAAGTAGACCCTTCTGTATATCGTCTTGTTGATGAATCTTCATCAGACGGTGATGATAATGATGTTGTACAAAACACTCCTTGACTTTTATATACTTTGAACTAAACAAATAGAACTGGTTTTGAACTAGTTGTAATAAGCGTTAACTTAGCATTGTTAGTTTAATTTGTTAGTTCTATTGAACTTTAATTTGTTGGTTTTAATGTGTTTTTTGAATTGTGTTGTTGTTGTGTTGTTGTTGTCGTGGAGATTTTGGTATTGAAATTGTAGTTTATGAATTGAATTATATTGTTATTTAGGGATTTTGGTATGCTGGCAGGTGGTGTAGCTGCCGAAACAGGCATTTTATGCCAAAATTATTACCCAGAAAAGCGACCAAAGTTAGTCGCTAACCTATTAAAAAAATATTTTATGGCAATTAGCGACCAAGATTGGTCGCTTATATTTAAAAAAAATTAAAAAATTAAAAATTGGCGACCAAGGTTGGTCGCTAATGAACCCAGATTTTATTTAAAAAAAATTCTGGAAATTTAGCGACCAAGGTTGGTCGCTTATCTATAAAAAAAATTTAAAAATTAAAAATAAGCGACCAAAGTTGGTCGCTTATGAACCCAGATTGTTAAATATATATTTTTAAAATAATATATATTTTAGTTTACAGACCAACGTTGATCACTAATTGTTGAATTATAACAATTAAAAAAATATCGTAATTTAAATATATAGATCAACGTTGGTCGCTAAATTTATATTATTAAAATATTATACCGATCAAAGTTGGTCGGTATTTTGTTTACACTGAACATTTGATCATTTTACCTTAGCGACCAAAGTTGGTTGCTAATTAGCGACCAACATTGGTTGCTAAGCAAAAAGGACCACCAAAATAGCGGCCAAGCCTGTTTGGACGCGTTTTGGTCGCTATATTGAGATAAGCGATCAACGTTGGTCGCTATATGTGGTCGCTTTTTGCCGAATTTCTAGTAGTGTATTTAAGAAACCATTTTTAGGTCCATTAACTTGAGACTTTAATGGCCTATTAAAGGAGGAGGTTGAAACTAATATATGCAGTACATTAACTACCTTATGACTGTGTCGGTCCACACATATTCCAAGAAAAACGAACATAACAAAACTAACTCAAAGCCTTTGATATTGCAAAATTTTCAATATAATAATAGTAGCCAAATTCTTTTTTACAAAATCATGCATGATACCAAAGAAGTGAGAATCATACATTTATCAGGCTTTTTTAGGGTAACATAAGTATATACATATAACTTAAAGTATATATAAGCTTTTCTAAGTGTGCCATAGAATTTAACTAGGATAATTCTTAAATTAATTAATTAATTAATTAATTAATTAATCAAAAGGAGCTTAGCCTTCTCTTGAAAAGGGTAGGAGGGGTTTCATCTGGTGGATTGACAAATTTACAATTTGGACATGTTGGTGAAGATGTGGACATCATTACTAACATATGACATTTCTTGCAAACAGCAGTGACCATCTCTTGTTGATCCACGTCAAATGTTAGCCAAGAGGGAGAACGAGTGATCAAACCTTGAGCTTCAGTACTATTCTTTTTAATGTTGGAATTCTTGTTATTATTACCAATGAAATAAGAATTTTGGTTCTTTTCTGGTGATCCACATGGTAATAAGTTGAGTTCAAGGTCTAAACTCATATGCACTGGAGTTGGTGGCTCAGGAGTAGTACTCAGTCTTGGATCTCTTGATGTCCTCTTTTGTGTCCTTGTATTGTAGAAATAAATATGTCCAGACTGCATTTTGAAAAAACAGCAAACAAAAATTAAAACTAGTCCAACTAATTTCATAACATTTCTTGAAAGAAAAGCACACTAATTATATAATAAGAGTGTGGCCTAACGGTCAATAAAACAATTGAAAAAGTATACTAGGAGATGGGGATTCAATTTTCATCTAAGTAATTTATCCACATCTATCTAAATGTTGGTGACCTAGCGGAGCCAAGAGTTTTGACAAAGGGATTAATTAAAAAATAAACAAGAATATGATCTCGCCTAGTATTTGAACTTATAACTTTAAAAATATTTTATTGAAACCAATTTACCACTATACTAGAAACTTCTCTTATGTGCTAGGAGATGTTAACAATATAGGAGTATTATTTTTAGATACGTCCAAGCTGACCGGGACATCATAATTAGAGAAAATAAAATTGCATACCATAATATCGAGGCATCTTTGCCACTCCAAGGGCAGTGGAGTCTCGAGATGCAGCTGGGTGCCGAATAAAGATGTCATAGTCTTGGCTTTCTGTGGCTTTTCATAAGAAATTTGATCTTCTTCTTTGAATTCATCATCCCATTTTCTCTTCTTAGACAAATCTTCTATATTTGGAAAAACATTTCTTTGTGTTGGAACTTGAGTTGTGTGAAAGGAGACCATTTGGACGATGATCAAAATTTGTGGGTTAATTTTTTCTTCTTGTTTTTGAGATCATAAAATGGTGTAAATATTGTGGACGGTTATATAGGGGGAGGTAAACAACTGCAATAGAATCTAAAAGGGCAAAAACTTAAATGTGGAACTAGAATGGGACCCATCTCTGCATGACGTGCTCTTCAAGTGAAGTAAATTCAATTTAATTGAAAGTTGGGGCATTGCATTTACTATACACCTCCAACCTGCTATGTAAAGCAGAGATGTTAAATACTACTAACAGCTTGTTTGGATGGTTGTTCCTTGTTGTATTGTAGTGTATTGTTATCCCGAAATAATGATTGTTTTATTAAAATTGGTTGTATTGTATTGTTAAATTTATTGTTCCGGAACAATGAAAAGTCTCCTTTTTTGAAACAACCGATTTGGTGTGGTGGGATTGTTTCCTATTTTTCTTTCCAATTATGCCCTAACTTATTATTCCATAATTCTATTTTACCCTTTATCTTTTTTCTATTTTAACTCCAAATCTCCAACTTATAACCTACTTTGTTTTTTTCCAGACCAATGTTAAAGGTGTTTTGTTGCCTCCTGTTTTATTTTTTCTCCTAATTTGCTTGTAACTCAATTCTAATTAGTTGTGCTCTTTTGTTTTGCCTTTTTATGTCTCGCTCCTTTGTTTTGCTTCCTTATTGTGTTTTGCCTTCTTCTGTTTTGTTTTTTAAAATTATTTTTATACATAATTTTGATAATTTAATATTTAAACAATTGAGGGTATTTTAGTAAACATATCAGTTACAGTACAGTACGATACAGTCAAACCAAACAACAAAATATTATTTAACAATAACAAACAATACAATCTATCCAAACATTGTATTCATAAAACGATACGGTACAATACGATACAATACAATACAATACATTATAAAACGATAGGGAACAATGATCCAAACAGAGTGTTAATTTTGTATTCCATGTATTCACGCGGCTGTATTTATACAGTGAGGTAATCCGCCTAAAATAAAGATTACAGGTGTTTAATAACGGAAAGCGTAATATTGAATTTTATTCAATTTCACTATATCGAATTCAATTGTATTCAAACAACAAAAAAATCAAGAAATAGAGTGTACCACTCTATTCAATTCGGATGTATATACTATATGCAATTCATCTATATTCATTCTTAACTATTATACATTGTATTCAATTCGACTGTATTCAAACAACGAAAAATTACAAAGGCAGTAATATTCGGTTGTATTCAATTCACTATACTTATTCGTAGTTGCTTTTACACTTTATTCAATTTACTGTATTTATTTCGGCTGTATTCAGACAACAAAAATTTAAAAAAAAATATAGGGATGTGTAGCAAAAAATAACCTTCGGAATACACAAATACAGGCAAAAATACAATATATTTGAGTGTATTTGTACAAAATATAATGTATTTGTATCATTGTATGTGACTCAATAGCAAAGAAGAGAAAAAAGTTCGCCGGTGATGGCGTCTTCCGGCCAAGCAAAATATTGTATTACAAAATATTGTATACATTGTATTAAAACTAAAAATGAAGATGAACAAAAATTCGGCCCTCAAATCCTCCGTCACGCCTCTGACTTTTCAAATGATACATAGATCTGAAACTTGTAGTTTTGAGTAAATTGAATACAATGTATCAAATCTTCCATCGCGTCGTGGATAGATCTGAAGCGAAGAGGGAGTAGGAGAACAAATCTGGCCATGGCTACAGATTGAGCTTTTAAAAATCTGAAGCAGAGTCGCCAGAGAAGAAGAAAATCTAAGTGAGTCACCGAAAATATGAACAGATCTGGCCATGGCAGTGAGTCGCCGTAGAAGACGGCGGTCTTGCCGAAGAGAGATGGGAAAGGGGGAGAGACTTGATGGAGAAGAATGAGGGTTGAAGGAAAAATTAAGGGATCAGTTGTGTATATTTGTACTTTGCTATAAAATTCCTTCCCCCTTGCTAATTACTAAGAACTTCGTAAAAATGGCAATAAATAATAATATTTTTAAAGTATTTGATTTATAAATAAATAGGGTGCATTATTAGCTATAGCATGTAAAATTTCATAAATCTATACCTTTAGTAAATACTAGTCTTAGGGTACATGCGCATGAGTAAAATCAGTGAAAATCACAAATATTATTAAAAAAATATTTCTCGAGTTATAAAATAATAACGTAAGGAAATAGTTAAGTTCCTAAATTATGAATGTTGATTTTATTTTTTTATAACAAAAGAAACATTTGGCTATATAAGTTCTCATATGTCTTATGGAAAATAATTTAATTCCTTCTTGAAAATATAAATTTCTCTTTTATTTAACTTAAATTAGATTTTATGGATCGAAGACAATTTGGTTCCTTACTTAAAAAACATTTTCTCATTTATTATAGTAGGAGTTTTAGGAATATATATTTATACTTTTATTTAAGTTAGAATTTAGGAATATTGTATGTTTCTTTTTAGCATGTAGATCGACTTCTTATCCTTCATAAGTAATTTTATATTAGACAGATTAAAATTGTACTCAATATATTTTAATTTTTTAAAAGTTAGAGTTGCTAAATACTTTGAAGACAATTCTGTTTCTTTTTGAAAATATAGTTATCTTTTTTATTTATGTTTAGGATACTTTATTTTTCTAAAGTATCTTTAAAATTGCGCTCGTCATGAAGGCGGGTCAGCTGTTTTCGGATTAGATTATAAAGGCCAACCTGCATGTCTGGGTAAAAATAGCAGGGGCTAGCAAGTTTTCTGACTGGTCATTCAAAAATAGCCAGCATTTGCAAAGTTATTGAAAAATAGCTAGTACTATTTTGCTGCAACACGAAAAGTTCCAGCATAATATACTGGAGATCGGTGCACCCGTGTATGAATTTTCAGTATATTATGCTGGACCGATATATTATACTGGAACTCCAGAGTTCCAGTATAATTTATTGGAGTTCCAGTATACTTATGCTGGAACTCATTAATACTTACTCCAGTGTACTTATTAATCTATGGTGGTTCTGAGCTCATTGATATGGTGTCCATCTCATTCAAATGGTTTGGTAGCCAATTTTGTTGACTTGGTTTGGTTTGGTAGCCAACCTTGTTGAATTGGACAAATATTGGTAGCCAATTTTATTGACTTGGTTTGGTTTGGTAGCCAACCTTGTTGAAATTGTGTAAAGGGTGTGCAAATTGTCAAATATTGTAGGCTTTAGAGAGTGAGGTTTTTGCTATAAAAGGAGAGCTTCAACTCTCATTTTTACACACCAAAAAAGAGAGAAAAGAGAGAGAGCAAGGTATTCCATAAACTATAAGAAAATAGTTTGTGAAGAAAAATAGAGCGTGAGAGATATTGTAGTGAGGTAAAAAAGCAAAAGAGTGTTTACTTCTTTTGAGGGTGTAGTGGTCTTAGGAGTATTTTTACTCGTTACTACACAGTGTAAAATCCTCGCTATAGTGATATCAGTTGCTCTTCTTGGCCGTGGTTTTTTCCCTTATTCAGAAGGGTTTCCACGTAAAATCTTGGTGTCATTTTTGCTGCATTTTTATTCTTGCTGATTTAACTATAACTTAGTGTTTCGCGTTTATCACTAATACCGTGAATACTATTTTTACGGGGTTTATTCCCAACAAGTGGTATCAGAGCCAAGGTTCTGTCTGAGTATGCTCTGTGGTTGCAGCACAGTCTGAACTTCCACATCAGAAAAGAATTACTTTGGTTTCACAATAAATAGTATTTGTATTTGTGATAAACAATGGAAGCCAACACTAGTAGAATGGTTACTTTGAATGGCACAAATTATGCCATTTGGAAGGGCAAAATGAAAAATTTGCTCTATGTCAAGAATTTTTATCAACCTGTCTTCGCTACTATAAAGCCTGAAAATAAATCAGATGAAGAGTGGAATTTGTTACACAGGCAGGTTTGCGGCTTTATTAGACAGTGGGTCGACGATAATGTTTTGAACCATATTTCTGGGGAGACACATGCTCGGACCCTATGGGAGCACCTTGAAAGTCTGTATGCTCGGAAAACTGGAAACAATAAGATGTTTCTAATAAAGCAGATGTTGGGTTTAAAATACCATGATGGTTCCGCGATGACAGATCATCTGAATAATTTTTCGGGGATCATGAACCAGTTATCTGCTATGGGCATTAAATTTGATGAAGAAATTCAAGGCCTGTTTCTACTTGGTTCCCTACCAGATTCTTGGAAAATTCTTAGAACTTCATTATCAAATTCTGCTCCGGATGGTATGATCTCTATGGATCTTGCCAAAAGCAGCCTTTTAAATGAAGAGATGAGAAGAAAATCTCAAGGTTCCTCCTTATCAGATGTCTTGGTGACTGACTCTAGGGGGAGAAGCAAGAATCAGGGTTCTCAATATAGAGAACATAATAGAAGCAAATCCAGAAGCAAACTTAAAGATATTGAGTGCTATCATTGCGGGAAGAAAGGGCACACAAAGAAGTTCTGTCGGATTTTGAAAAAAGAGAATAGAGACAAGGAAGAACAGAAAGAAGATGGCAATCGTGTGGCCACCGTCACTACAGAAGATCTTGTTACTGTCCTTGATGCAGATCTGATAAATATTTCTTGTGATGAGTCAAGCTGGGTTGTGGACAGTGGTGCCGCATCTCATGTGACATCAAGGAAGGAATTTTTCTCATCCTATACTCAGGTGACTATGGAACTTTGAGTATGGTTAATGAGACTGTATCTAGGGTGGCTGGTGTTGGAACGATTTGTTTGGAAACTAGTATTGGAACTAAACTAGTTTTAAACAATGTAAATCATGCACCTGATGTTCGTTTGCACTTGATCTCTGTTGGTGTTTTGGATGATGAGGGATATGTCGGTACCAATGGTGCTGGAAAGTGAAAGCTCGCTAAGGGTGATTGTGGCTCGTGGGGAAAAGCGTCGTGGTCTATACTGGACTACGGCCTCTACCTGTGTTGATATGGTGAATGCCGTTGAGAGCAATAACTCTTCAACGTTATGGCATAAGAGGCTTAGCCGTATTAGCGAGAAAGAACTAAATGTTTT